CTTTCCATCTCTGCCAAATCGACTACGCATCTATCCATCTTCTTTCTCCGACGGATCTAAACTTTTCCGTCTCCGTTCGCCTCGTCCGAGCCGCTCTTCCATCCGCCCGTATCCGGATCCACCATGTTTCTTCCACTTATTCGAACGAGCCCGAGACATATCGGTAACCCTTTCGCACTCGGCGTCCGCCGCGATCCGATTCCGGCGTGCGTTCTTCCCGCGCTCGCACGCACGCGTACCCAGATCGACACTCGCCACTATCCTGCACCAATCACCAGCTTCAATCGCACTCGCATTTACACTCGCAGTCGCACCAAGGTGAGAGAGTCGGTTTTAACAGATTTCGACTCGACGGGAACAACCCCGAACCAGCGTCGAACATATCTATGCAAATTTATCGTTCCCTCGCGGTCTGGTCTACGGGACGCGAACGGTTCAGTCGGCCTCGGGAATACTCGGGACGTTCCGTCGCTAGGTTCAAGTGCCTTCGAATTCAACGAACGGGCCTAATGCGATTCGAGTTCTCGGGAAACGATCGGTTTGCTTTGTGTCTATGTGTATGTGTGTCTGTGTGTGTGTGTGGCTGTCCGTGTGTTTAGCGTCGCGTGAAGTCGGACGTTAACACGCTCGCGGCGGTTGGAATTTTGACCCTTTGCACTCGGGAGTTTGTTATGGGATGTGTTTAACAGTTTTTGACGAGGTGAGGACGATACTTGAGAGTAATTCGGAGGGAGATTAGTATACTGAGAGATTTTGTTCCAATGTTTCACTTGTCGAGGCGTTAAATAAAGTTTAAGGTTAAATGTTTTATAGTTTTTTGTTATGGTAGATTTTATAGTTTTACCAAATCAAGTACATGGAACTCCGAGTACAAAGGGTTGAGCCGTGAGAATAGGAAAAATGCAAATACTCCGAGGGTTGCATGATTTGAAAAAATTCAGGAAAATGAATGCTATAGCATTCACGTCCGAACGTGGGAACCCTTTGCACTCGGAAGCTCCTCGCTGGAAATATTCGACATTTTCCTGAGACATAGACGATACTATGTGAAACAAACTCTGAACAAAGCTACTTTATATAAACGCTTCACGTATCGATGCATTATGGGAAACTTAACACATTCCGTGGTCGTAGACGACCCACACTGAATTTTCTGTTCAGACCGAATTCTCATTGAAGAACAAAGAAGTTTTTAAAAATTTAGAGTCAAATATAGGCATCTTAATATCATGTATACTGCGTTTATTTAAATTTATTTAAGTAGGTCGTATGCAACCCATATGGCCTGAATGGAAAAACTGTCCGGCACGGAACGTGGTAACCCTTTGAACTCTGTAGGCTCCAATATTGCACCAGTTATAATATTAAATATTTTAATGAATTTTAAAGAAGCTACCTTAAAGTTATTAGTTCTTCCACACATCCAAATTTTGTACTGAGAAGGAAAATAAAAGATCGAATTTTTCATCTTCACTTGGAGTTCTATAAAAATTAATTGCAGTTGCTGATAAATTACAAAACCATCTGGAGTGCTAAGGGTTAATATTATACACAACACTCTGTAATTTTGTTTGATATTATATATAACACTGTAACTTTGTTACATCGAAGAGAGTCACCTCTCGAGTGCAAGGGGCGAACGAGCGATATATCGAGATCGAGATCGGAATCGAGATCAGAGAAGCGAGACTGTAACGATGACGTGTCCTGAGCGCGTCATCGTAAGAACGCTCGAAGAGGGACCCGGCCGAAAAGACTACGAGAGAGAGAGAGAGTCGAATCGAGATCCAAGCCAGACCGGGTTTCGAACATGCATCATTCGGCGCGACTAGGTTGCCTCGGAATCGGTAGCGGCGCTAGGTGTCCCCCGAGATCGGCGAAACTCACCTGATCGGCCATGGCGTAACCTTCCTGATGATGATAGGGCGCCGGGTGATGAGACTGCGGCACGTTCAACGCGAAATCGAGGTTCTCGTTTCTCTGGAAACAGACAGCCGAGGTTAATTCGTCGCTCGCCACCGAATCATCGAGGAACCAGCTCGGTTGCGAGGAACGCAAACGTCCGACGGGAGGATTCGTTACGTTCTAGCGCACCGTTCCAACTTCGAATGCGTCACGTTCCATAACGTGAAGCTCGTTTACCAAGTGACTCGGAAGAGAAGAGGGAAACAGGGATAAAAGAAATCTGCCCGCTGATTGTTGGGTTATGTATCATACACATGTTACAAAGATGCTTCTGAGAAACAGCTTGAAAGAAGGTAGAGGCTGTCTGTTTATTTTCAACGTCCCAAACCGTTTGATGCGGTAGGGTCGTAGGTATCCGGACCTAAGCCAGTGGCGGCTCGTAGCTGAAATTAGTGGGGGCGCTGCTTCAGGATATTTGTACCGTTTCTTTTAGAATGTTTGTTTCTCATGAACTGGATGGGTACTGATATTAAGCTTAATGATTATGTGTTGCATGAGTATAGAGACAGAATTGTAGAAAATAGGACTTGTGTTGAATGTTGTTGATAATATCATGGGGAAATTGGGAATGCAGTTATGGGGCCTATGCGAGCCGCCATTGGACTAGCGTTCTTTATTTTGTGCATCGTTTTTGAACGGTAGATGAGATATTCTTTTTGGTTCTGAGGATGAGAGATTTCTTGATCATTAACACGTTGAGCGACATGTTAGACATTGATGATTTGACGCTTTTGAATTGGAGAGAATTGTAACATGCAAGATAACCGATAACGAATGAAAATGTTTGATAACGTGACTAAGCTGATAATAGTCTAATAGAACTATCAGGTGGGTTAAAATGACTAATTCCTAATTTCTTCTTTCAGAATGACTGCAAACGTACGGATACTTCAAGAAATGATGAAATAAGCTATTTTGGTAATACTTAAGCTGAAGTATGAACCAATTGAAATGTTAATAAATTCAGGTATATAGCTTTTATAAATACATGTTCAAAAGATGGTTCAACACTGGAACTACCAGATGGCTCAGAATGACTTATTTCTGATTTCCTCTTTTACAGTTACTGAAAAGGTACAGATACTTCCACGAAAATTTATTAATGGAACTAATTGCGTAATAGCAAAACTGAAATGCGGGTTAATTGAAATCTCAATAAACGCCCGGTTATGGTTTTTATAAACAAATTTATAAAATCTTCTTCTTTTGCAATTATTGAGAAGATAACAAATGCTTCTATGAGAAAGTATTGAAGAAACTGTTTTAGAGTTTCTATTGACAAATTTAAAAAAAAGTCAACTTCACTGCTGACAATACATTTGAATCATAGAACCTCCAGTTGTTTTTCTAATGAAATTTGTAAAAGTCAGTTTAAGTGGCCAGTAATTCTAGTGTTAATGGAAACTCTACTTTCATTCCACCAGCCATTTCCACTGCTGGCAATGCAATTCAAATCATAGAACCTCCAGTTGTTTTTCTAATGAAATTTGTAAAAGTCAGTTTAAGTGGCCAGTAGTTCTAGTGTTAAAGGAAACTCTACTGCTTTCCACTACTGGCAATGCAATTCAAATCATAGAACCTTCCAGTTGTTTCTCTAAAGCAATTTCTAAAAGTGAGTTTCAGTGACCAGTAGTTCTAGTGTTAACACTCTGACTGCCACGAGATCCTTCAGAGTTTTATGTCTCTCTTATTCTTTCCTAGCAAAGATAAAGAGGAACAGTTACTTATTATTTCGTATCTTAATGCGTACGTTACACTATTGTCTAATAATTTACGCTATAAAATATTTTCATGCGACATTAGTTATCTAACGAATTACAATTATTGTCAAGAAATTTGGAAGCTCCGGTCATCGGTGACCGACGTGGCAGTCAATGTGTCAAAGTAAACTTTACTGCTTTCATTTCACTAGTGATTTCCACTGCTGACAATACAATTCGAATCTAAAGCAATTTCTAAAAGTCAATTTCAGTAACCAGTAGTTCTAGTGTTAAAGGAAACTCTACTGCTTTCCACGGCCGGCAATAAAATTCAAAACAGAAAAACCTCCAGTTTACACGCGTTAGTCCCGGACGCCTAAGTATCCATGCTGCGTTCGTTTCCGTCGCTGGTCTGCCACCGGTATCGTCGTTACCGACAGCATCGGCTGCTACGACGCAGCATCGGCATCGGCAACCACCGCCATCGCCGCTAACGACGATACCCACCCTCGTCCGAACGCGTTACTCGCGTTCCTCCACGGTCATCGACCCTTTACGCTTTCCTTCGGCTCGCAGCACTCATTCGAACGGAATACAATCGAAATCGTACGGTTCCTACAATGTAGCATCGCCACGTAAGAAGACAAAGGCGCGCGAGGACTCGGGGGAAAGGATCGCGCGCGAAAAGTCCGCCTCGCTGGTCGCAGCCTTCTGCGACATCTGGAAGGCGTATCGCAAGTCCGTAGTCGCGATCCTCCCGCAAAACGATTATTTCTCGTTTAAACGTGACGGACAGGTGCTGGCGCACCTTCTCCGACGGCTCGGAGTCGGACGATGTGAAAGGGATCCTTTAACCCTTTGCACTCCGTTGGCTGCAGACATAATTATTAGATCTGATATAACTTCCAATTACAACATTCTTTTCCTTTTCACTCGAATAGCAAATTCTCATATTATCTTGAAAACTAATTTCTCGAAATGAAATTCTAGATTAAAAGTTCCCTTATAGAAACGAACTATTCAGAACATGATAGGGAACTAGATTAAAAGTTCCCTCATAGAAATGAACTATTCAGAACACGTTCGGAGTGCAAAGGGCAGGAACAATTCCAGGTTGCAGTATGTATGGTTCCTCGGTTGACGCGGAAGCGAACGGTATGATAGTGATAGAAATCAAAGACGGTTGAATCGCGCATTCTGCGAGAAGAGTGCGCGCTTCTTCCTTTTTCCAACAGAAGCGACAGCAGGCAAACGGGCTGGCGGGCTGGCAGGCGGGCAGTCGACCGAGCAAGAAAGCGAACAGGTAGGTGCAGGTAGATAGGAAGATAGGTAGCGGGCAGGTAAGCAGGCAGGCAGGCAGCA